TGGAGGTTCCTCAAAAAATTAACAATAGAACTCCCCTGTGACCCAGCAATAGCACTGCTAGGAATTTACCCAAGGGATACAGGAGTGCTGATGCATAGGGGCACATGGACCTCAATGTTCATAGCAGCACTCTCAACAATAGCAAAAACATGGAAGGAGCCTAAGCCTAAGGACGAATGGATCAAGATGTGGTTTATCTATACGATGGAATACTACATGGCAATGAGAAAGAATGAAATCTGGCCATGTGTAGCAACATGGATGGAACTTGAGGGTGTTATGCTGAGCGAAACAAGTCAGGCAGAGAAGGACAGATACCATATGTGTACATGTATAGGAGGATTAGGAGGAACTTAATGGAGGACCATGGGGGAAAAGAAGGGGAAAAATAGTGGGGGAGAGGGAAGGAGGCAAACCATGAGAGACTCTTGAATGCTGAGAACAAACTGAGGCCTGATGTGGGTAGGGGAGAAGGGAAGGGGAGTGATGGGCATGGAGGAGGGCACTTGTGACGATGAGCACTGGGTGTTATATGGAAACCAACTTGACAATAAACTATTTAAAAATAAATAAATAAATAAATCCTTTTTCACCTATAAAGACACAACAACCAAAGAGGATTTCCTGCCTTTCCTCTCCACATTAACTAATCGTAACAAACAAAATGGGTCCACCATTTTAAAAACAAAAAGCCAGCTTACTAAACATGAACTTAATCCAGCATTTTCTTTTTAAAAGTGAAACCCAAGCTCAGTCCCCGTTAGGACATGCAATCATACCAGCTCCGCTCCTTGGGCTGATGACGGGCTTGTCTTCCTTCAGGGGTTCTGCTGAGGGGCTCTGAGAGCCTTCCCCGTACAAGGAAAGGGGAGACATCTGGGAAGCAGAAGACAAATCCAACTCCTCCTGTACCAAAATGAAACACAAATAGACTCATGCAAAAATATACAATCCTCCAGGAGAAAACTGCTTAGAGGGGCAAGATCCACATGTAAGCGGATAAACGCTTCAGGACAACGTCAAGGCGAAGGTGTAATATATTTGAATCTTTATATACTAAGTACTAAGAGACTGGATAAATAAACATTATCCATCAATACGAGGGAAAAATAACTCAAACTGCAGAGCACTGTAGGTTATCCTCTCTTATTAGAGATGGGAATCACTGCCGTGCTCCCACATTTCCTCCCACGAGCTCGGCATTTACTTGGTTCCTAGCCATACGAACACTCAGCACATTGTAAGTCTATGGCGAGAATGCCAATATCCTTTTCCCCCAGTCCCCTATTCAGTCTTACGCTCAAAACAAATAAATTTTTATTCTTTTTTATTAATGCTGTCTTTGTCCCAAATCGTTTGAGAGAAAGACAAACACTAAAAGGAACAGGACTATTGTATTTAATGAATGATTTGGTAATACAGAGATGTATAAAGATAACACTGGCAGAGTCTTTTAACATTCAGTGTATGTCTCATTTTGTTGGCATAAGGAAAGTTAACATAGGATAAAAGTAGCATTTCTTTTCTGAGAGGAAAAAGATGTTATATATAATAATGGAATAGGCATACATAAGTACATCATACCATCTTCAAAATACTCTGTACGATTATTAAAATGAAAATTAAGAGAGGCACCTGGATGGCTTAGTCACTTGAGCAGCTGACTTCGGCTCAGGTCATAATCTCATAGTTCACAAGTTTGCGCCCTGCACTGGCCCTGTGCTGACAGTTCAGAGCCTGGAGCCTGCTTCAGATTCTGTGTCTCCCTCTCTCTCGACCCCTCCCCTTATCACACTCTGTCTCTCTCTCTTTCTCAAAAATAAATATTTTAAAAAGAAGAAGAAGAAGCTACAGGGTGCCTGGGTGGCTCAGTCAGTTGAGTGTCCAACTTCAGCTCAGGTCATGATCTCATGGTTCATAAATTTGAGCCCCAAACTGGGCTCACTGTTGTCAGCACAGAGCCTGCTGTCTCCCTCTCTCTTTGCCTCTCCCCTACTCATCCTCCCTCCCTCTCCCTCTCTCTCTCTCTCTCTCTCGCCCCCTCCCTCCCCCCCAATGAAAAAAATAAAAATAAAGTTTCAAAAATAAAGCTATGTACAATTGCACAGCCAATGTCATACTTAATGGTGAAATACTAAATGCGTTACCATTAAAGATAAGAAACATAACTGTTTTTTCTGTAACTCTAGCAAACATAATTATCCTATAAAATGAAATGAAAGGAATAAATACTAAAACATAAGAGAAGTGACTTTGTAAGGTGATATGCTGTCTACTTGGAACAGATATAAGAACCAACTGAAAAAATATTTCACTATGAAAATACTGTATGAATAATCACTTAGAAAATGTAATAGGAGCGCCCAGGTGCCTCAGTTGGTTAAGCATCTGACTTTCTCTAAGGTCATGATCTCACAATCGTGGGTTCGAGCCCCTCATCGGGCTCTGTGCTGACAGCTTGGAGCCTGGAGCTGCTTCAGTTTCTGTGTCTCCCTCTCTCTCTGCCTGCTCCTGCTCTGTCTCTCTCACTGTCTCTCTCAAAAATAAATAAAAATTAAAAAAAAATTTTTTTAATCTTTAGAAAGTACACAAAGGAAAAGATGGAAACTAGGCTTCTGTAAGTATAATTTGTTATATGCTTTTGACTTCAAAATAAATTAAATTTTAAAAAATTAAATCATGTGGAGGAATTGCGGGACCACAGAGAACTTCCACTAGGAGCAATGACAGAGAAGCTTCACAGAAGAAACTGTTTCTGACCTGAACCTTAAAGAACGAATGGGAGTTTTAGGGCAGAAAGCACACGGAGCTAGTCCAGGCAGAAGAGTCTATACGCAAACCTAAAAGCTGAAGAGCAGAAATTTGGGGCACCTGAGTAGCTCAGTCAGTTCAGCGTCCGACATCAGCTCAGGTCATGATCTCACAGCTGGTGGGTTCAAGCCCCACATCGAACTCACAGCTCAGAGCCTGCTTTCGGATCCTCTGTCTCCCTCTCTCTCTGCCCCTCCCCTACTCACACTCTGTCTCTCTCTCTCTCTCAAAAATAAATATATATATATATATATATAAATAAAAAGGCAGAGATTTCACTGCTCTTCCTCACTGCAGGCCCCCAACAGTGCCCAGCGCAGCTGCTCAATAAGCAGAGAGCACAGGAGCTCACGGGTGGGGGGGCCCACAGGGTTAAAGGTAAGGGGAATGTGAAGGCAGGAAGGGCCAGTGAGAAACAAGACCACACATGTACGCAGAAGGCAGATCGAGAAGGGCCTAGAATATCGAAAATTTGAATTTCATCCTTGTAAGGGTTGGGAACACTACAAGGTTTAAGAAAAAACTGACAAATTTGTAATTTTCAAAGATCTCTTTTTGAAGATTCCTCTGCTAAGAAAAGTCTGGGGAGTCAAGAGGCAGAGAAGCCAGTTAAAATCCTACTGACAGAAGCCAAGGGAGACGATGGGGGCCTGGCAGAGACAGAGACGATGAACCATAAAAACATCAGCTGGATCGAATTGTCAGGAATTCACAGCTGACTACGTGCTGAGCTTGCCAGGATGAAGACACCCCAATTTACAGCAGATATAATGTAGTCCAATATTAATTTGAATTTTTCTTCTTATATTTTCCCTCTCCCCATTCAAAAAACAACTAAATATGTTGGTACTTCCTTTTCCCAGACTCAGAGCTTTGGTCTCGATAGAGAGCAAAAGCATTATTTAAGAAGTTAACAGATTTTTATAAAAACCTCAGCCCAGGGGCGCCTGGATGGCGCAGTAAAACATCCAACTCTTGATCTTGGCTCAGGTCATGTCACAGTTCTGGAGTTTGAGCCCCACATCGGGCTCTGCACTGGCGGCATGGACCCTGCTTGGGATTCTGCCTCCCCTTCTCTCTGCCCCTACCCTGCTTGTACTCTCACTCCCTCAAAATAAATAAACTTTATTAAAAAAAAAAAAAAAAAAAACAACCTCAGCCCATTCAAAGGTAGTACCAGGCCTTCCTGAATTAAGAAATCCATTCCAGGGGCGCCTGGGTGGCTTAGTCGGTTAAGCGTCCAACTTTCGCTTAGGTCATGATCTCATGGTTCGTGGGTTCGGGCCCCGCGTCGGGCTCTGTGCTGACTGCCAGCTCAGAGCCTGGAGCCTGTTTCAGTCTGTGACTCCCTCTCTCTCTGACCCTCCCCTGCTCACGCTGTCTCTCTCTCTCTCTCTCTCCTAGAAATAAAATTTTTAAAAAAAATAAAAAATAAAAAATAAAAAGAAATCCATTCCAGGTTCTATGGCCAAAGTCCTACAAAAACAGACCATCTTAGAGTCTTCCCTGTCCTCAAAGAATGGACCTTCTAACAGACAGGAGAGAGGGTACCAGGGAGAAAAGACAGAACAATAAATGAAAAAAATACTGGATCGTGGTAAAGTGCAAACAATGAAACCACGAAGGCAAGAACATAGGGGAAGGAGGCCAAAACCAAAGAGACAAAGAACTTCTTGCTCTCCCAAGGCCCTTCCTCGAGACTCCGTGTCCACAAGATTCAAGGAGATAAGGCTCACAGTATCATTTAATAAATGTTACCTGCTCGTCCAATTTGCATACTTCCCAGACAGCATTATAATCAAATCGCCGTAAAATCACCGCAACTACTGGCTACTTACAGGAACGTGCTGGGTTGAAGAGTAAGAGTCCACGGACTGCGGGGAGGAGACTGAACAACTCAAGGAGGCTGGAGAAAGTGGCTGAGGTTCGGCCTTCACATCTTTAACGGAAAAACATGGAGTAAAAACTTTCCCGCTGGACCGTACAAGCTCAGAATACAATTAGTAAGAAAGCAGGTAAAATCAACTCTTAAAATCCAATCACACTGAAGTAAAGGTCACCAAAACATATCCTCGAATGAAAACTCAAGATGCAGAAAGCAAGGACTCTAGCATGCTGCCGTCCGTGTAACACAGGACATACGTGTACACGCATGTATCTGCTCTCGTGGGCACTAGTTCTCTGGAAAGACAAACATAGCAAACCAGGAGCTGTGGTCGTCTCTGGGGAGACCATGCCGGCCGAGGAATGACAGCTGAGGGAGACACCTTCCTACTCTACAGGCTTTTTGTGCGTCTGGAATATTATATATGCAAAACATTAGAGATTCCTCCAAAAACAACTTTTAAAAGTGTAAGAAATTGGGGCGCCTGGGTGGCTTAGTCGGTTAAGTGTCCGACTTTCGCTTAGGTCACGATCTCGCGGTTCGTGGGTTCGAGCCCCGCGTCGGGCTCTGTGCTGACTGCCAGCTCAGAGCCTGGAGCCTGTTTCAGTCTGTGTGTCTCTCTCTCTCTGACCCTCCCCTGCTCACGCTGTCTCTCTCTCTCCTAGAAATAAATAAAACATAAAAAAAATTAAGAAAAAAAAGAGTTTAAAAAAAAAAGTGTAAGAAATCAGCAACGATTATTTGGAAAGCACTTTTAACAATACAATTAAAACACACAAAAATGTGCATATCTTTTGAGCAGCTGCAGCCAAGGCCATGTTCCTAAGTGTCCTGCAACAGGCCAGGAATGAGAGAGGCTACATCCCTGCCAGAGACTGTACTATGTGTCCAAAGTGAGCTGCGAAGTCTCTGCATCCCTCCCAGGCTGTAACGTGATCTGGCTCCACAAGAGGTAGCATCTATTTCCCTCCATTTGAATCCAGGTGGCCTGGTGAGTCCTTCAACCAAGAGAGCATCGAAGTCACGCCCTATGGACCCCACGGCTGGGCGACATTAGGCAAACGCAGCTTCTACTCTGCGTGATGGAACTCACATCTGATCCTCCAAAGGCCCACCGCCATGAGACCACAAGGCTGAGAGGAAGCCAAGCCGCACAGGAAGACCGTGTGCAGGTGCTCTAACTGACAACCCTAGTCACCGAGCCATTTGGGCCCGGCAAGAGAGATGTGAGTGAAGAAACATGAAGGTAATTCTAGCCCCCAACTTTCAAGCTACTCCAGCCTTCCAATCTTCCCAGTTGAGGTCTGGACATCACAGAGCAGAAACAAGCCCCTCTCAGTGTCCCCTGTCCAAATTCCTGACTCACTGATCCCGGAAGCATAATAAAATGGTTGTTGTTTTAAGCCATAAAGTTCTAGAGTAATTTGCTACATGACAACAGTAACCAGAACACTGGCCATGGGCAGCCCATATTCTCTGAGGGAAGACAAGTATTTTCGCAAGACACATAAATACATAAAATGAGGGAGTGGGGCATACAGGGGTGGGCCGGACTGCAATCTGGATGGGAGGCTGTGCTGGTGACCGATTCTCTCTCTCTCAGCTCTAAGTCTACCTCCTGTACAGAGTCTGCGATGCACATCATTTAGGCCCCATCAATGGACAATACTAAAGGACGCTAAAGTGAAGAGAGGGGAGAAGGGGGTTTCTTCCTCCTCCCATCAGCTTCACCCCAGAAGTGACAGTTTCCTCCAGGTCCCAGCCTCTCTGAGCACCTCCCAACCCTACTTCATTAGGGTCCCTTAAAGAATCTAGGGTCAACTAGGAAGTGTGCCTTCCACAGAAGTATGTACTTCCCAAGTTCAGGTAACCCTAAGCTGCTTCTCTTTGATTCCCTAAATTCTGTCTGGTTCTCAGACAGGCTAACCTCTTACAGAGATATTATATGTAATTCGAAATCAGGATTTCAGATATGACCTCTTAATTCATTATGCAACTGAAATATAACATGAAATTCTTTATAGCCACTCTGGCAAGAAACTTCTACATGCCTTACCGTATCGAAAGTAGAAAATATAGTCCCTGGGATTTTTTTAACCCATCACAGTAGCCCAATAACCCCACCGAGTACTGAGTGTTACCAAACTACAAAATAAAATGGATCTGTTTAACATTTTTACCAATGAAATACACCATTACCTGTACAGAACTGGTTGTTGATGTCCAAAATGCCTGTCTCCCAAGGCATCAAATCCAAGTCAAAATCAAGGGTATCAAAATTGTTTTCCTGTAGGTTTCAAATCAGCAAAAAGGTATTAGAAGAATAAAAAGATCTAGAAATCAAACTATCAGACACAACTAGCCATAAATAATAAAACTGCTACTATCCAACTTAGTTAAAATAATCGTCTAAGGCAATCGGTTCATCACGGGAATATGTATGGCCTAGAGAAAAACCAATCCAGTTATCTGACACATGGCAGGAACAACTCAGAAGGGGGTAATGGAATCAACATCGAAACAATTCAGTTGGTGTCATTCTTTTCCATGGAAATCAACCATCACTAGAGTCACAAAATAGGTCTTTTGTCATAAGGGAGACCCTACAAAGGAAGTCTTCGCAATGCCACTAATGAAAATAAGTCAAACCAAATGCCTACATACAGTATCGTCTCTGTGTGACACCGGGAAGAACACAGATGTGACCAAAAGACATGCAAGGAATCACAATGAGACTTGAATTATACCAAATTTGAATCTTCAATTATACCAAATATTAAGATGGTTACGGGGGCACCTGGGTGGCTAGGTCAGTTACGCGTCCGACTTCGGCTCAGGTCATGATCTCAAGGTTTGTGAGTTCGAGCCCCCTGTGAGGCTCTGTGCTGACAGCTAGCTCAGGGCCTGAAGCCTACAGCCGATTCTGCGTGTGTCTCTCTCTCTGGCCCTCCTCCCCTGCTCATGCTCTGTCTCTCTCAGAAATAAAGAAACGTTTAAAAAAATTTTTTAATTAATTAATTAGTTAAATAGTTACGTAAGCAAGAAGAGGTCCACAGAAAAGTGGGCAATGTTCGTTTTTCTATTGTATAGTACCTCTCTAAACTTCTAAAATAAAATTTCTAATCTTTTTTAATCCTAGAAGATAAAACTAAGTTATTTAGTTTCTTAGAGAGACTCTGAAGCGGTTTTTTTTCTTTTAGATGACAATTTTTTTTACTTAAATATAAGCATATTCTGGGTCATATGAATAGTCATCTTATACGATATACATAAAGAACAGTCACATGATTTCAGAGCCCTCACATAAATTTGAGATCAAGATAGTACTATTATCTTAAGTGACTAGGGTTATGGAGACAAAAACGTAAGTAAACAATATATAAACGGTACCGCAAAGTTCAAGGCAGTTAATATTAACTTAATGTGACAGGTAATGAAACAGCAACAGTGGAGAAAGTAAGCCTCGGGCAAAAAGTAAAGATTAATCTCTTAATTATTAACAACCATTTGGCAATAATTTCTAAAATAACAGTTATTTCAAAATGTCTACTTTGTGATTTATTTTTATTGAGAACAAAAGGAGAGAAGGTGAGGGGCACCTGGGCAGCTCTCTCAAAAATAAACGTTTAAAAGAGACTTTTATTATTTTTTTATTTTTTTTAATTTTTTTAAATGTTTTATTTATTTCTAGGAGAGAGAGAGACAGCGTGAGCAGGGGAGGGTCAGAGAGAGAGGGAGACACAGAATCTGAAACAGGCTAAAGGCTCTGAGCTGGCAGTCAGCACAGAGCCCGACCGGGGCTCGAACCCACGAACCGCGAGTTCATGACCTAAGCGAAAGTCGGACGCTTAACCGACTAAGCCACCCAGGCGCCCCAAGAGACTTTTTTTTAAAGGAGAGAAAGAAAACAGTTTTATTTTCTTTACCTTTAAGTAAATATTGGTGCAAGTTATACAAAAAGAACGGTGGAAGTTCATGTGAAAAAAAAGAAAAAATCATGAAAGAACCTTTTTAATGTTTTCATCTATTTCTGAGAGAGAGAGACAGCGTGAACAGGGGAGGGTCAGAAAGAGAGGGAGACACAGATTCCGAAACAGGCTCCAGGCTCTGGGCTAGCTGTCAGCACAGAGCCCAATGCAGGGCTTGAACCCATGAACCATGAGATCATGACCTGAGCTGAAGTTGGACACTTAACCAACTGAGCCACCCAGGCGCCCCAAAAGAACCATTTTTTAAAAGCAATCCCCTTTGCTTATTTCTTCTATTTGAATCTACACATCATGAAACTAAGCAACCTTGTACTTTGAGCAATCCACAGTATCCTTAAACTTTCTCAGCCTAAGTAAATTCAACAATGAAGCCTTCCCGAGTGCTAGCAATAGTGTCTAGTACATATAATAGTGAAAATAACCTACTTAAGAGATGCTTCCCTCTACCAGTCTTCAGCCAAAAAAGTCAAATACTTTTTACAGCCTAAGGATTGTAACTGGTTGGAAACTTAACAGGCCTATCTTATGTAAAGTGAAACATATTTGTGCTTCTTTATTCTGGCGTTTCAATCACTTCTTGTGGAAAAATCTACTAATGTGTGAAAGAAAAATGACACAATTTAAAGCTAGAAAGGGCCCTCAGAAGCCATCTCTCACCCCTTCATTTTATACTAGAAATAGCAAAAAATTGAAAGACTGAATGCCTTGTGTAAGGTAAGAATGGTATCAAATGAGGACCATATATCCCTGAATCTCTGAAATTCACTAGAGTATTTCTTGATGGTTTTAGCTGTAGAGGCTGTAAAAGAAGATCAGTTGCTTGGGCCACTGCCCAAAATTTAAAGCCAACTTAGGGGCTCCCAGGTGGCTCAGTCAGCTGGGTGACCGACTCTTGCGTTCAGCTCAGGTCATGATCTTACAGTTCATGAGTTCAAGCCCCACGTCGGGGTCTGCACTGACGGCTTGAAGCCTGCTTGGGATTCTCTCTCTCTCTCTCTCTCTCTCTCTCTCTCTCTCTCTCTCTCTGCCCCTCTCCCTCTTGCTCTGTCTCAAAAATAAATAAATATTTTTAAAAAGTAAATCCAATGTAATCAAGAGACCAAATTCTGATTTTTTTTAAATGTTTGTTTATTTTTAAGAGAGAGAATCTGAAGCGGGCTCTGTGCTGACAGCAGAAAGCCCAATATGAGGCTCAAACCCACGAGATGGGAGATCATGGCCTGAGCTGAAGCCACACACTTAACCAAGTGAGCCACCCAGGTGCCCTCAAGAGACCACAATCTAAGACAGCTCACAAAGTAAACAAAGACCATTAAAATTTCATGTACTGGGGGCGCATTAGAATTCTCTCTCTGCCCCTACCTAACTCGTGCTCTCTCTCTCTCAAAATAAATTCATAAACGTAAAATAAATTCATGTACTGATTAAAAAAATCTATCCTACAGACACCTGGGTGGCTCAGTCAGTTAAAGGTCCACCTTTGGCTCAGGTCACAATCTTACAGTTCGGGGTTCGAGCCCCACATCAGGTTCTATGCTGACAGCTCAGAGCCCAGAGCCTGCTTCGGATTCCGTGTCTCTCTCCCCACTCTGTGTCTGTCTGTCTGTCTCTCTCTCAAAAATAAACATAAAAAAAATTTTTTAATCTATTCTATATTCTACTCTCTTCTACTCATTCATACTAAAACAACTGTTAAATTATTCTCTGAGAAATGTCTGAGAAACTCACTAAGTAAGCACTACATATTTTTATTCTCAGGTTAATAAGGGCTTAAAAAATAAGTAACAAATATCCAACCTGATTGATGTACATATAAAATCACTCTTCACTTGAATGACTTTCCAAGTGAACAGCACCTCATCCATTAGAGAATAAGACAAAATAAGAGTTCTATGGGCCACTGTACTATGTACAAACACAAAAAAGAAAAAAAAGATACTTCTGAGGACTCAAAGTGTTATAACAGCTTTTACACAGACTTCTAACCACTGAAAGGCAAAACGTAAGGACATGTCTGAGTTTCAGAGCTTTCTACGCTACGGATACACAACTTTTAAAACAGAAGTTAGTAAGTTCTACTTGACTGGATCCAGGACTCACACCTTCAACATCATCATTTCCCCTATGCGGCAAAGCATCTATAAAAGCCAAAAAGTAGGCAGTTAACTGACTTTCCAAGTCATCCAACCACGGGTGAGGCCAAAGTAACCTCAGAATACAAGTCTTCTCGCACCAAGATCGAAGCAATTTCTACAATCCTAAATCCGCCAAATAAAAAAATGGCTACTAAATTTTATACTTAACACTAAATTACTTAGACTTCAAATCACTAGCCTAAACCTGTTATCCTGAAACCATCTTGCAGTGATTAAAGATTAAATATCACATTATTCAGTCATTCCCCTCTAGTAAATACTTACGTAAGTTTCCTTTGCAGGGTCCAACTGCAGGTCATCGGTGTCTGTGAAATAGCCAAGTTCAGCAAACAGAGTAGAATCTGTGCACGAAAGAATAGAGATTAACTGTCAATTCAATGTTTCGACAAAATAAGAACTATAACCCAGCTCTATTAGGGGTTCTCATCTGCCATTAGTATTATTGACAAACGGTAGCAGTGTGAATGACAACCAATTCCAAGCTGTTTCTAATTTATGTGTTGTTTTCCACATAATTATCTTGTGATCTAAATCCTTACACCAGGGATTAATAAACAAGTTTTATGTCGGGTCACATTGTACTAAATGGTAGTAACTTTCTGGAACATCACTAACATGAATTCTGAGGCCACAGCTGGGCTCAGCACGAACACGTACTGTGGCTGATCAGCAGTGATGGAAGCTAAGAGAAGAATATGGCGGCATACGTAGCACGTATTTGCCATCCAAACCTTAAATTGAGGGTGCAACCAATTTTCTATCTAAACAACAAAGGACTTGTTTATCTCAACCATGAAATTTATTTTAGCGAATCTAACTAATTCCAATTTCCTAATAAGATTTCATCACAGGGGCGCCTGTCTGATTCAGTCAGTGGAGCATGTGACTCTTGATCTCAGAGTCATGAGTTCAAACCCCATGTGGGGTGCAGAGGTTACTTAAAAATAAAATCTTTAAAAAAACTGCAATAAATTTTTTTTAAAAAGATTTCATTACAGACCAAGAAACTTACGGACACAGAAAATACTCTTCAATAAACTAAGTTGAAACTTCTTGTGGACAAAGGTCAAGATGCTGACAAGGCCAAAGGCAGCAGCTGATCACCATACAACCTGTAAAGTGGCCATTTTCTCTAACATTTTTTGGAATCTCAAGAACTGCAAAGAGTTTTCCAAATCTAAGTTTGCTTTTATCCTCCCTAGGCGGTGCCTGGGTGACTCAGTCATTAAGCGTCAGACTCTTGATTTCAGCTCAGGTCATGATCTCATGGTTTGTGGGACTGAGCCCGGCATCGGGTTCCCTGATGACAGTGCGGGGCCTGCTTGGCATTCTCTCTCTCCCTCTCTCTGCCCCTCCCCTGCTTGCATTCTCCCTCTCTCGCTCTCTCAGAATAAATAAATAAAATTAAAAACAAAAACAAGTTTATATTCCCTGGTATCATGCCACTGACTCTGCTCTGGCGATTTCCTCACTTATAACACATACAGCAGCGACACTGCCAGTCTGTCATTAACTCAGCCAACGCCACAATCATCTCCAACCCAGACCAAAATAATACCTAGCAACAAATTTCATGTGTAGTAATAATGAAAGGTGATTCACACAACTCTCACAAAAGGACCACTTTACGCTCAGCAGCAGAGGCGGAAACATCTAAGTAGGTAACTGTGGCTGTGGGTCTTACACAGAGGCTGAAACCCTGGAAAGAGTTCTCTCTACCTGCTGTCTCTCATTTCTCTTTTCCCATTCTTTCTTAAGCCTATATTAACCAATGATCTCTATGTTGCTAAATTCAATGGTAGATTCAAGGTCATTGCCTTGACCTATCAGCAACACTCGACAGAGCTGCCCCTTTCAGATTAATTGAAACATCTGCTTCACTTGGCTTCCAAATTACCACAATCACCTGGTTTTCCTTCCACCTCACTGGTTGACCTCCTCATTTCCCAGCGTGAAATTGTCCCTGGGCTCAGCATAAACTCTTCTATTCCACTCCCGCCGTGATCTCAGCTGAATTCATGGCTTTAAACAGCATCTATGTGCCAAGGATTCCCAAATATACATGTCCAGCCCATACGTCAAGACACATGTACACACAGTACATCTCTCGGGTCATGTCTTGGAGTTCTTGAACTTAGCACACCCAAAACTTGGCTCCTGATCACCACCACCACCCTCACTCCCCACCCCACCTCCACCAAATCCACTACTGCTTTGTCCTCATCTCAGCTAATGACAATTCAATTCTCCCAGGAGCTGAAGTCAAAAACCCTGGTCGGGGTCACTATTCACATCTCTTCACTCTCCATATTCAAACCACCAGCACCTCCCAACAGCTCTGTCTTCAAGCTGTATATCCATAACCTGGCTTCTTACCTTTCCTTCCCATTCTTCCTTCCCCTCCCACCTCTCCTTTTCTTCTGTACCCTTCCCAACACTGAGGTATCAGCTTCTGAGGAAGTGGGGCAATGAGGGTCATGGGGCTCCATGTGTCATCTGTGGCAATGTGCCTGGCGTCCAAGGAAATGGGATGGTGTGAGACGGGGGGCGGCCAAGGAAATGGGATGGTGTGAGACGGGGGGCGGCCAAGGAAATGGGATGGTGTGAGACGGGGGGGGGGCGGCGGCCAAGGAAATGGGATGGTGTGAGACAGGGGGCGGCCAACGGAACGGGACAGGAGGAGGGAGAACAAAGTGGCAGACAGAAGAGGCAGCCTGAGGTTTACGAGAATGATGACACTGAACAAATGCCTTCATCAACTGAACGAATGCCCAAAAATACCTAAAATACCTGGAGCCAGGCTTCTCACTACCTGAGAAAGAATTTACAAACATGGGAAGGAAAGAGCCTAAGATGTTGGACTGGCAGTGGTAGTATGAACCCATTTCTAAAAAATATATATACACAGGCGACTTGCAGATGTTTGTATACATGTACACACAAACACACACGCACACGCACGCACATTTCCTAGTTCTGTGGGCTGAAAGGTCTGAGAACAGTGATCCCAGTAGCAATGAAAATACTGTGTGCTCAGATCTTGGATGCCAAATGCCATCCTCCACTAAATGGAAGTCCACTAAAGAGCTCCTTGGAGGGCACCTGGGTGGCTCAGTCGGTTAAGCGTCCAACTTCAGCTCAGGTTCATGATCTCACGGTTTGGGAGTTCGAGTCCCACAACCGGCTCTGTGCTGGCAGCTCAGAGCCTGGAGTCTGCTTTGGATTCTGTCTCCCTCTCTCTCTGCCCCACCCCCACTCACTCTGTCTCTCTTAAAAATAAACATTAAAAAAAAAAAAGAGCTCTTGGAGAAATGGCTGATTCCAAAGCCAAAGCAGGAAAGAGCAAGATAAGAATGGGAAGATTAAAAAGAGAGAGAGAGAGAGAATGGAAAATCCTGTTGTGCCAGAAAACAAGGAAATTCTCAGAGAATGATTGGAATATGTCAAAAGAGTAAAAGAGCTGATCGGAATGCGCTCCCATTGGTCAAACCAGGGAAAATCTGAGCACCAAAATAAAACAGGAGTACTAGATTTAACCCACTAAATCAGACGAGTCATTATGAAATAAATACATATATATACCCACATACATACTTAGGGAAAGCCCTGATTTACACTGCAATGTAATTAGAAGGGCAGATGGAATGACAGAGATAATCACCATCTGGCATTAGAGTGGAAGCTGATACAGGCAGGAACTATCAATGGAAGCTAGGGCTGGTGGGTGGAGGTTTAACAAGGAAAAGGAGGGGCGCCTGGGTGCTTAGTCGGTTAAGCGTCCGACTTTCGCTTGGGTCATGATCTCACGGTTCGTGGGTTCGAGCCCCGCGTCGGGCTCTGTGCTGACTGCCAGTTCAGAGCCTGGAGCCTGTTTCAGTCTGTGACTGCCTCTCTCTCTGACCCTCCCCTGCTCACGCTGTCTCTCTCTCTCTCTCTCCTAAAAATAAATAAAACA